TGTGTGTGTGTGTGTGCAGAAAAAAGGCTATGTGGACGTGAATGGAGCAAGAATCAGATGGCCATGTCACTTGTGCAAAAATCAAGGTAAACAATGGCAATTGATAAATGATGCATGTCATTTATTTTTATGACATTGTACTTATTTCATATTAGTTTTACTCATAATAGATGTATCAATCGGACCCTAAAACTCTTTCCCAACAAAAGAGAAAAACACGTGCAAAAAAGTTTAGTTTACAAATATTTCAAAGAGGGCAATAGAAACAAGAATTCCTTTTATTTTTCCATGCAAGAATACCCCAAAATCCTCTCCTCCAAGAAAACAGATTAGAGATTTTCTCACAACACCTGAACAGGAACCATCCCAAGAAATGAATATCTAATTTCGAAGAAATCTAAAAAACTAATGTAGGAAGGAACAAACAAACTCAAGACACATGTTTGTTTAAATGTCCCACAGAACTCACCTTTGTACACCATATTATGTAAAACCCATTTGTATCCTGGAATGCGATTTGCCTGAACCCATTTGTATACCATATTTGGTGTAATCCGCCTTGAAGCCGTCTCTATTCCGTGGTCGTGGAATCAACAAGTTATTTTTCTCATTCAAACAGGAACTCTGTCATTCAAGATGGAAGGAGCAGCAAATTATCGAATGAGTTATGTTGAACCAGCTAGTGAATTGATACAGGAGGAAGATCGTGATACTCTCGTTTTAAATCTTCCTGGTGTGTCCCTCATATTTTTTATTTCTAAATTGCACCTTTTTACTACAAATGATCGTAAGGAAGACGAGTCAAACTCTATCAGGTTTGTTCAATATTATTTTGATGTGCGGGTGAAAATGAGTTCTAGAAAATGGGGGCCCAACAGGGTGTATATGACATGATTAATGCCGGTTGGCCAGGGTCAGTGACCGACCAGAATCCAGGGGTCAGCCCCTGATTTGAAAAAAAGGGCCCCACATGAATTTCAAATCAAGGGCCGAGGTGCATCCACCTCGGTCCCCTGGATTTAGCCCTAGATGAGCGGCATTGCTTATATGCCATGGGCCACTCTTTGTTCTTTATGTATTTTCCACTTTGAAAACTGATATTGCTAATCTATTAGTCATTATCATCAATTGATCATGATTGTATAACAAATTATGGGTTCACTATGATCCATTTTACTCTATAAATGAAGTTATGGAATGTCGAAAGTATATCGTATTCTACAGGGTTTAAGAAAGACCTGTTGAAAGCTCAATTAACTAGTGAATCCAGAATCATGAAGATCAGTGGAGCAAGGCAACTTGAGGATAACAGGTGGGTCGGTTTTGATAAGAATTTTCCGGTTTCGCCAAATTGTGACACCCGAAAATCAGTGCAAGATTTGACAACAGCAAGCTGTTTGTGACTATGCCAAAACTGATTAGTCTAGCAGGGAAAAAAAACAGCAAACTGCAACCCTTAGAAACCCGAAAACCTCAAAAGCCCACAGAGGAGCCATTCGATGCTCCAGAGAAGAATGGAGAACGAGCCAGCCATAAAAACGTACCAAGTGATGGTCAAAACAAGCAGAATGGTACCAAGAATGTTCCTGAGAAATCACACGTGAAGGAAGAAACAAAAAAGCCAAGAACAAGCAGGCGAAAAGACCTTGGCAAATGTTGATAAAGAAAAACAAATTGATGCCGAGCATGTTCCCGAGAAATCACGTGAGAAGGAACAAACAGAATCCTTAAATGCGAAAAGCCAAGAACAAGCTGCTTGTGGTCCAGCGGCAACGTTGAAGATGGCAAGGCAAAAGATGGACATGGTATTCCAAGAAATCTGAAAATTGAGGATTGTACATTTTGCAAATAATTAATTTAACAATTCAAAAAAAAAAAAAATTGTACCTCTAACTAATTGAATCGCTCATGTAGTAAACAATGGATCATATCGAGTCTCATAAAAGGATTTCTAGGCCTAACTAAACACGTTGAGAATAAGACTTTAGTTTAGTTGTACTTTCACGTAATATGGAAAGTCAATTTGTCACTTAAAGTAAACGATTGGTTTAGCTTTTCACAAGTCAACCATAGTAGTGGAATAATGACAAATAGATCCGTCTATGAATTTGTGTTTTGACCACTACCAGGGCTGGCCCTGGTCCAAGGCCACTAAGGCAGTGGCCTTGGGCCACCACAAATTTTTAGGGGCTACAAAAAAAAAACCAAATACACTTATTGGGCCGAAAATAATAAGTGGCCCTAACGAAAAAGTCTCAGCCCAAAAAGCCCAATAAAAACCCTCAAATATCCTTACCATCATCTTCATTCTTCAACTCTCACCTCTTGGTCTCTTGTGAGTTGTGACTCTTCAGTTCCTTCAATCATTCTTCTCGGCTTCTTCAGGGAATCAAGTTCAAGAGTCAAGACTTCAACAATCAACAGCGTAAACAGTAAACAACGACCTAACACTCCGTCTCCGACCTCCGTTCTTACTTGATTTTGATTATTTGATATTAGTTTCTCTTTTAAGATTATTCTGAAATTTGACATTCGCTCATCGATTATTGGCCTTTTTCTTCTTCTTCTTCTGATTAACAGTTTGTGAAAGCTCTTGTAGTGAGCAGAATAAGTGGATTTCTGTGATTGACAGTTACTGGAATTTGGTAAGTATTGGCATTGCTTTAGTTTTTAGTTTTTAAATATGCTGTCAGTTCATCACCTAGCCACATTTTTTTTTCAACTATGCGGGGTTGAATTTTCCATTTTTGGAACAATTATTATAATAAATTATTTTTCTTGTTAAAACTGTGGATCCTTTTAATGGTAGAGACAATGGTCATAATATGAAAACCAGTTCTAATTAAATTGACTTGTTCCAATTACGATTTACGAATATTACACTACAAAGATTCATTTATGTTGGATGTCCGAAAGCATTAGTTCATCGAATTTGTAGCTCAAATTTTTGAAGGTTCTATATCTTGTTTATATATTGACACTGGTAGTCATTTTTTTAGTTTTACATCTGGAAGGATAGCTAGGAAGGATGGGAATTGTGTTTTACTAAGTCATCCTCATCACAATTTGTTGTTAAATAGGCATGTAATCCTTTTTGTAAGGACATATTCTTGTTTCTAGTGAGGTTTGTATGATTGACAATGAAATAACTTTCTGATACTTGAACCATTGTCTGATGCAACTAGTTTCAATAGAAGATTGGTTCTATTAATTAGTGCAACTACTTTTTTTTTTTTGGCCTAATAATGGCAAGACATTGGTTGAAGTGATTGTGGGTTTTTTTTTGGGATTTGAGTTTAATTGGATGAAATTATGGAATTAGATTAAACAAACGTGACTGTTGAATTTATTGCTCAATAATCAGTATGGTGAATGTGGGAGGTTGGATGTTGCTCATTCTTGATTAGTTTACAACAAAAGCAAAATACTTTATTGCTCAATATATCAACCATTGATTAGGTCTTATCTTCGATCAATCATCTCACAAGAACGATTGAATGGATTAGCTATGATTTCTATTGAAATAAATATGTTGAAAAAACTTGATTTAAGTAGTTTGATTACTGATTTTATATAGGTTAAATCTTATGTTAGCCTAATCTCTCGGGTTGTGAGAGAAGTTTTAACTTGCTACTCTATCTTTTTAATTATATAAAGTCTTTTTTTAATATAAAAGTGTTATTTATTTAAATATTTAAATTTTGCTACACTTGTGAAAAAATGATTATGTTGAAGGGTCTCATAATAATTTGTCGCCTAGGGTCTCTAAATTCTCAGGACCGGCCCTGACCACTACCTAGATGTCACTCAAATCGAATCGGGTCGTATTAGAACCAACATTATAGTCAACAAAATTGGGACAAAAGTAAAGATCTAATTTTGTGAAGGTTGCTTAACACGCCATAAAAGGTGAACTTGCCTGACATTGCCATTTTGTGATCTTGGTTCGTAGCTTTCTCAGTGAACACGGTGATTCACCTAACAACAACCTATAAATATAAGGGTTCGTTTGATTGCAATAATGAAATTTAGGTGAAAAGAAAATGAATTCTATAAAATTGAATTGCCTAGAACTTATTTTACTGAGAATTGTTAATTAATTATATTTGATTTGTATAATTTTTCACTTGAAAAATATTGAAATTTTGGATATTTTAATGTTCGTTTGGCTTTATTTTTAATGAAAATTGTCCATTAAAGTGATATAATTTGTTACAATTAGGGATATAAGTTGTTTCCATTGCCCAAAAAAATAAAAATAAAACTGCCTAGAAAACCAAATCTTACCTGAAAAAGTAAGAAAATGTGGCAAACTAAGAAAATGTGGAAAATTAATTACCAGGAAAATGTTTCATATCAAACACTTTAAAAAGTGAAAAATGACAAAAAAAATTTCAAACTTCCATGGAAAACTTGCCCTATCAAACAGGGCCTAAGTGTTAAGGGATATAATCCCACATTGAATAAAGATGTTGACACAGACCAATTAATAAAGATCATGTACTACTCCGCTTAATAAGGTTGACCTTTTAAGATGGACCCCCAAATCTTAATATGGTATCAGAGCCCATTATACTCCAACGAGAGATTCGATCCCGATAAGACTCCAAAAAGTGAGCACGTGGATTTCAAGATTGGTCTGCTCAAATGAGTCACCATCTTGTGGGGGAGTGTTAAGGGATATAATCCCACATCGAATAAAGATGTTGACACAAACTAATTAATAAAGATGTTGGACTACTCCTCTTAATAAGGTTGACCTTTTAAGATGGACTCCCAAATCTTAACACTAAGATACATAAGATAGCATGGACTTTAATTGGACATATTTTAATAACCATAAGCAAATATTTTGTCAAATTATTTGCAACCATCTCTAACTTGAGCATCAAAATCCAACCGGTCACCAAATTTTAAGAACTATAAGCAAAAAACTTTGCTCTATCGAAATTTACAAAACATGTCGATAGAAATTGTTATGATCAACTCTAGTGTTCTTAGTTTCAGATCCGCATAATTATTTATTGCATGTTAGTTGAGGTGGATTAAACCGTATGATACAGTAAATAAAGAAAAAAAATTATTTATTGCATTGTCCAATCATATTCAATATTACATAACAATCATTATTTTTTATTACTAATTTTATGCGCGTACTAAGAATAATCTTAATGAATCGTTGATCCAAGTCTAAGATAAATAAAATTAGAATATTAGCTAGTAATCAAATATTTCTCAAGAAAAGTTATCTTTATTTAATCACGTGCTTCAAAACTGTGGCCATGTCATTTTCATTACTTACTTTTAATCTACATGAGATAATGCAAATCGCACTTTCGAAAAAGAGAGAAAGTAGACCAAAAAAGGGTCTATATACAATGGAATTGAATTACTAATGATTCAAAAGGGAAAATAAAAAGGTGTATGACAAAGTTAAATATAATTTACATTTGTGAATTAATTATAATTATATTTGTGTAATAAAGGGGATAATTTTTCTCATGTCGTCTGAAAGAGTTGCACAAGAATTTATTCCGAATAAGAAAATAATTATTCGTGTAAAACATTTCAAAGATATTATATCCTTGAAATCGTTTCGACCAGTTGATTTTTAACAAATGTCGGATCGTTTTTGGTGATCGTGTAGGGTAAGCTCAATCCAAGTTAACCCCTACATATACATGTCTCAAATACATCTAATATTTCGTCTACATATATTCTTGAAAAAAAAATCTCAAAACACATTTTATCTTTGAAATCGATCGGACTCGTCGATTTTTAACAAACGTTGGTCATTTTCGTGTTGAGATTTCAGACGATTTCGGTGACCGTGTTTGACGAAGTCTGATCATCTTCACCAGTCATCCCTACTTATACGATCTAGGTCTTAAATACATTGCAATTTCGTCTATAATATATAGGATTAACCTAACCCTTTTTCCACGTTCATTCAAACTCAATTAAATGTGGCTATAATTAATTATTTTCCCATTTGGCTTTGCTTTATCAAGTGCCAATGCCTTTCATCTCCCATAAACTACCCCATTAATACTGTTCATATTATATCTTACGTTAATTAATTAAATAATCGAAGAAATTTATACACGTATATATAAATCTCTCTCTTTCCATCTCTTCTGTACTCCGAATGGTCAATTATTCCGCACAAGAAGAAGAGAATTGAAACAAGGCTTCTCAAGAATACTCTTAAGGTGAAACAAATGCAATTTCTTCAATTCTTTTTAATTATATAAATACTTTTCGGCTTATTTTTCTCTTGTTTTCTGATTTTTTTCTTGATAAAGTTGGGTTTTTTGGTAGGCTTTTCTGGATAAGTTTGGATGATCCTTTGTTTATATATATGTTTATGTATTTTTTGGTGGGTGGGTGATTTATGGGTGTTGTGGTTTGAGTTTTTTCTAGTTAATTTTGCTCATTTGTTTATGTTTTTTTCTAGTAAAGAAATCAACTTTTTTCTCCAGATTTAATTATTTCTGCTTCTTTAAATTATAATTGCTTATTAATTTTTTTGTTTTCATGAATAGAAAATGGATGCATTAATGCATTTATTGATCTTGTAAAAACAAAACATGGGTGTGGATCTGTGAAAATTACATTAATCTTCACTAATTTTCCCGGGAAATTTGAAGCTTTAATTGCCAATTTTGTGGGAAATCAAAGTTTAATATTTCCTTTTACTCTGATTTTATTTTTATTGTAATCTGCTCAGATCTGATTTCTTTTCTCATGACAACCTTTTTTAAATAAAAAATATGCTTAAAGTGAACTTTTTAGCTGTTTTTTTTCTGAACAGTTGACTGTATGTATGCATATATGTACATAGATTCTCAGATTTCGGGGAAAAAATTCTAGTTGAGATTGAATATATTTCTCCTGTAATGTTTGCAGGTGGGAACAGCATGGTATTTAAGTGATTCCCAACTCATCTGTTGCTAAATCTTGTGTTTTGACGCAGACGAAGGGCTCATTTGGAGGCTTTGAAGTTTTTGTTTTGAAGGAGTTCTGTAATACGTAGAGCAGAGACAATGATGATGTTTGATGATATAGGGTTCTGTGGTGATCTTGATTTCTTCTCGTCTGCTCCTCTCAAGGAAGCTGATGTGTGTGGCCCACAACCAGAGCCAATGGTAGAGGATGATTATACTGACGAGGAGATGGATGTGGACGAACTTGAGAGGAGGGTGTGGAGAGATAAGATGCGACTCAAAAGACTGAAGGAAATGAATAAAGGTAAGGAAGGTGTTGATGCTGCCAAGCAGCGGCAGTCTCAAGAGCAAGCGAGGAGAAAAAAAATGTCAAGGGCACAAGATGGGATCTTGAAATACATGTTGAAGATGATGGAAGTTTGCAAAGCTCAAGGCTTTGTTTATGGAATTATCCCCGAGAAGGGCAAGCCGGTGAGTGGGGCATCTGACAATCTTCGGGAGTGGTGGAAGGATAAAGTCCGATTTGATCGTAATGGACCAGCTGCCATAGCAAAATATCAAACGGAGAATGCAATCCCAGGGAAAATTGAGGGTTCAAATCCCGTTGGTCCAACCCCTTATACACTGCAGGAGCTCCAGGATACGACCCTTGGTTCACTTTTGTCTGCTCTTATGCAGCACTGTGATCCCCCTCAGAGGCGGTTCCCATTAGAGAAAGGTGTTCCACCTCCATGGTGGCCCACGGGGAAGGAGGAATGGTGGCATCAGCTGGGTTTGCAGAAGGATCAAGGCCCTCCACCGTACAAGAAACCGCATGATTTGAAGAAGGCGTGGAAGGTGGGTGTTTTAACGGCCGTGATCAAGCACATCTCTCCCGATATTGCCAAGATCCGTAAACTTGTGAGGCAGTCGAAGTGTTTACAGGACAAGATGACAGCAAAGGAGAGTGCAACTTGGCTCGCCATCATTAACCAGGAGGAAACTTTGGCTCGAGAACTATACCCTGATCGATGTCCACCTTTGTCCTTGTCCGGTGGGAGTGGAACTTTTACTATGAATGATAACAGTGAGTACGA